AGCCTTTGACCCCACCGCTGCTCCCCTGCCCCGCCCTCACGCCTGTCTCGGCCCACGGCGGCCCGCGAGGGACAAAACCCGCCGCGCCTCTTTACCCATCCACCGACGCGGCGACTTTCTTGAACGCCTTAAAGGCAACGTACGCTGACTTCAGGGAAAGAGAGGCTTCGGCACCCTCGAGAGGCGGGGCTTCAGGGAGACTCCCTGCGGTTCTCTGCCCGTCGGGCGGGCGCTGTGACCTTGGGTGGAGACTTGTCTGGGACTGCCGTTGCTTACCCTCCCCTCCCCCAATGACCCTCTGTTTTCCTTTTGCAAGTCTGCCAGATGACCACAACGTCTCTAATTTGCGGTGTTAGTGTGACCCTCAGCACCCTCCTCACCAAGTGTGCCCTTTTCTGTCGAATATGTGGGGCTGGGGACGTCTGGTTCATCTCTGATCTCCCTGCAGCACTGAATTATTGAGGAGGGGGTGGAGGGCAACCTAGGGCATGGTCACCAGTGATGGGTAGGGGTGACTGATGCGGATAAAGTGTACGAGTGGACCCACTTAACTTTGTCCAGAGCCAACACGGGCTCCTCCCTACCAGCATCCTCGACACACCCTACCGGATGGGTCATGTAGACTGATATCCTCATTTTGCAGTGTAGGAAGCCGAGATCAAGGTCACACAGAGACCAAGAGGTAGAGCAAGGTCTGACTAAATTGAGTTCATATTTTGCAGTTGTTTGGGGACTGAGGAGTGAGGTCAGAATGCTGCAGAGGTGAGGAACCAGGTCTTGCAGTGAGTTGAAGTCCTCCAGGCAGAAAGTGTGGTGGGTCTTCTAGGCATAGGCCCAGGAGGCCCTTGTGAAGCGCCTAAAACATATTCCTGACATTTGCTGGGATCTAGTAGGAAGTGGGAAGTTGGAGTTGCAGAAGGGGACTTGAAGGGCCTCGCACATATTGTGAAGGCAAACAGACCTTGTCCTGGAGGGCAGGTGGTGAGGAGGGAAGTGAAAGGCTGTGCGCCTTGAAGCAGGAGGAAGGGAGCTGCAAAATTATAAGATTCATCTGTCAAAGTGATTACTCTGGCTGCAGCTTAGTGGGGGCAAGGGAGACTGAACTGTGCTATGGGCAGATAAGTTAGGACTATTGCACAAGAGGGCTGGAAATAAGAACAGGACCTGAATACTGGGTATAAACGGAAGGCAGACAGCACGATGCATGAATCTAGCACTGGATTGGATTGAAATCTGTATCTGACAACCTCTACTTCTTGCTTCTTTTTCTGATCTTGGGTAACCTCTGTCAAACAAAAGCACCTATTTTCCTAGCCTCACCCAGCTGTTGAGAGGAGATGGTGACCATGAAAACACTTCAGAAAGTATAAAACATTCAGCTCAGTCTTTCAAGCACAGATTGCACTAATTCAGTGCTGCAGGGAGATCAGAGATGAGCCAGGCCCAACCCTTGCTGGGAGAAGTTTCAATCTGGTGGAGGAAAAGTGTTGTGCCCAGCAACTTCACGTCTAAGGCTGCAGAATAAGGGCCTTAGACAAGGTTGCTCTCAGTGTTCAGGAGAGGCAGTCAGGGAGGGCTTCTGGGAATAGGCTGCTCTAAACTGAGTTTTGAAAGGTGAGAAGGATTTTATTTATTTTTATTTCTATTTTTTGAGTCGGGCTTTCACTCTGTCATCCAGGTAGGAGTGCCATGGCACAATCATGGCTTTATGCAACCTCGCACTCTTGACCTCCTGGGCTCAGGCAATCCTTCTGCCTCAGTCTCCTGAGTAGCTGGGACTACAGGCACGTGCCACTACACCCACCTGATTTTTTTTTTTTTTTTTTGTATTTTTGTAGAGATGAGTTCATGCTATGTTGCCTAGGCTGGTCTCAAACTCTTGACTTCAAGCAGTCCTCCCACATTGGCCTCCCAAAGTCCTGGGATTACAGGTGTGAGCCATTGTGCCTGGCCCAAACCAGGACACTTTTGAGAGTGAAAGTGGACACTACTGCTAGGTGTGGTGACTCACGCCTGTAATCCCAGCATTTTGGGAGGCAGAGACAAGAGGATTGACTCAGTCCAGGGGGTTCGAAACCAGCCTGGGCAACTTGGCGAGACCTCATCTCTACAATAAGTCAAAAACTTAGCTGGGTGTGGTAGCACACGCCTGTGGTTCCAGCTACTTGGAAAGCTGAGGCAGAAGGCCACCCAGCAAGTCAAGGCTGCGGTGGCCATGAGCATGCCACGGCACTCCAGCCTGGGGGACAGAGTAAGACTCCTGCTCAAAAGGAAAAGAAGGAAGAAAGTGGACACTATTAATAATGACACTGGAGCTGGGCATGGTGTCACTATCCTAACTCATTGCAGCCTCCAACTCCTGGGCTCAAGCAATCCTCCTGCCTCAGCCTCCCAAGTAGCTGGGGTTACAGGTATGTGCCATAATGCCCGGCTTAATGCACATTTATTAGGTAAGTGAATGATCTAGGTGTTGGGGGGGGTGCCAGGTAATCTTTTTGAGGGCTCCACAGGATGTTGAGGGGGAGAATTGCTGGCAGCCCAGAGCTTCACCTTTGACCTCGACCATTGTTTATAATATCTAGGCTTTTTTTGCGAATATTCCCTTTGTGTACTGTATGCTTTGACCTTTGTATCCAGAACTTCAGATCATTTCCATAATGCCTGACTGAGACCCATCAATCTGAGCCCACCCATGTGTCCAGGAGAGGTACCTCTCCCTGCCCTCCTCATAGTCAGTGCCTGGGGGTGCCTACTGGTCAGCATGGGGACTAGTGACTGTTCTTAGCAGCCATAGAATCTGTGACATATCTTCAGTGGATCCCTTCCCCTTTCCCTCACAGGGCTGTCTGCATGGCTCTCCTGAGCATCTCAGTTTCCCATCTTTAGGGTCCCAGTGTAAAGATACGGATGAGTAGGAAGGGAGGTTTAGCTAGGCTGAGACCCAGCCTGCATAATTATCCTGCTTAAAGCCTTCCACCTCCCTAATTATTGTTATGATGGATACACCCACTCAACTGGGCATACCTACCTCCCCCCTCCTTTCCACAGTTCCTCAGGGGATTGGAGAGGTAGGGCAGGAACCCAAACCCCTTGTACTACTTCCCGCCTAACTCTGGGAACCCATCGAGAAGAAGTACTTCACCTCCCTTAACCCCAAACCTATGTGGGCAGAACTGCCAGGAAGGAAAGAAGGGATGACAGACAGTGAGATGCCTAGGCCTCAGTTTCCCCATGTGTAAAATGAGGGTGTTGCATAGATAATCTCTTGAGGGTTATCTGGTGCTGACATTCCATATCTCCATTGTGACTCTGAGCCGGGCTCAGCCAAACATCTTGAGATGTCTCGAGGTGGGGGATCCCTAAGGCCTTCTTTCACATCCTTCGTTTCTCCTTTTTCTCAAATTTTACATGGGACCCAAGAGTTTTGGACAGATGTTCGTCCAAGGCTGGGCCTTTGATTCCTTAGCTGCCCCAAGAGATAAAAGACTAGGAACAACTAGAGCCCGGGGCCCTGCTTCCTGGACTTGCCACAGATCCTGCTTCCATTCCATTCTAGGCCCAAACCTGAGTCCCAGAGGCTGCAGCAAGACACTGAGTTTAAAATAAAGAGGAAGAGGCCAGACGCGGTGGCCTATAATTCCAGCATTTGGGGAGGCCAAGGCTGGAGAATTGGTTGAAGCTAAAAGTTCAAGGCTGCAGGGAGTTATGATTGTGCCACTGCCCTCCAGCCTGGACAACGCAGAGACATCCCCCAGAAAAAGGGGGCAAAAGCTCCACAAACTAATGCTGACTACTAAAAGCCTAAGTGTTAGCCAGGTGCCTGCATTCCAGGTACTTGGAGTCCAAAGCAGGATGATTCCTTGAGCCCAGGAGTTTGAATGCAGCTTGAGCAATGTTGCAGAATTCTGTCTCTAAAAAATAATAATAATAAAAAAGCTAAAAAACATGTAAGTGTGGGAGGGAGATTTATGAATCCATGTAACAGAAAAGGGCAGGGGTGTGTGAGCTTCAGACATAGTTACATCCAGGTGACTTGATGATCTGAAATTGTCTCCATCTCTCCTGGTTCTGCTTCCTTCGTGGTAGCTTCATACTCAGGCAGCCTTACTCCTGCCAAACCCTTTACCCTATCCCTTACTCTTACCCAGGTTGACCTTACCCCTGCCAGACCTCCAAGCTGATATTTGGTCTTTTTAGCCACCCAAGAGTTTGTCCTTCTCAGTAGTGCTTTGTTCACCACAGAACAAAACAGGTGTCTAACATGGAGTGTTGAATAAATGGTTCCAGGAAATTGCCTAAGATTGACTCTTGTTGGCTCAGACTCAGTCGGGTGCCCATTTTCTTTTTTGTTTTGTTTCTTTCCGAATTGGAGTCTCACTCCGTTGCCCAGACTGGAGTGCAGTGGCCACTCCCGGCCACGTAGCCTCGACCTGCTGGGCTCCGGCGATCCTTCCGCCTTAGCCTTCCAAGTAGCCGGAACTACAGACGAGCGCTACCACGCCCGGTTAATTTTTGATTTATTGTAGAGATGAGGTCTCGCCAAGTTGCCCAGGCGGGTCTCGAACCCACAGGCTCAGGCAATCCACTCACCTCAGCCTCCCAAAGTGCAGGATTACAGGCTGAGCCACCGAGCCCGGATAGGGTGCCCATTTTCAACCTAATCAGTGTGACCTACCTTGCCTGGGCCACATCAGTGGGGACATCCCTCCTAACAGAGTGACTGAGATGGGTGGAGAGCAGCTCCCAGAAGGAAGAAATGGGTCCTGTTATTAGAAGGGTTGCAGGCAAAACCAACAAGTCTCCTGCATCTTTAGAGCGCAGAAGTTCTGTCTTTTTCTCCAAGTTATCCACAACATAGACCTGCATTAAAAGCATATGGGCTTGAGTTCTTATGGGTGTTGGGTGTGCTGAGCTCCTAAGAATAGCCTTCATTAATGGAGGATAAGAAATAAGACCAAGCCAGGCTCGGTGGCTCAGCCTGTAATCCTACGCCTTTGGGAGGCTGAGGTGAGTGGATTGCCTGAGCCTGCAGGTTCGAGACCCGTCTGGGCAACTTGGCGAGACCTCATCTCTACAATAAATAAAAAAAAATCAGCCGGACGTGGTAGTGCATGCCTGTAATTCTGGCTACTCGGAAGGCTGAGGCGGAAGGATCGCCGGAGCCCAGCAGGTCGAGGCTGCGGTGGCCAGGAGCGGCCACGGCACTCCAGTCTAGGCGACCGAATGAGACTCCAAC